TGGTAGAAACCTTCAGGGCAGGGATGGCACTGCTTCAATTCAGCCTGGCTAGGAGAGCCAAGGGGACACCAAGTACCCTAGGGCAGGTCGGGACTTACCTGTCAGCAGGTCCAGCCACAGTGGGCTCCCCGAAGGCCTAGAAAGAGACCAGGAGAGGCCAAAGGGTAATCTGGATCACAGTTCAAGAGACTCTCCACCAGAGCTATGATCTGCAGAAGGGCTTGGGGACAAGGAGTTCAGTCCCAGGTGTAGTGTGGGGCCGCACTTAGTTACCTTCTCCCCTCCCCCATTTTGCAGTAGCTTAAAGATTAAGGTAGGAAGGGAGCATAGTAAGGAGAACTGCTAACTGCCCAGGACATGAAGAACCACTGTGTCCCAGTTGTTGTTGTGAAGTGCCGTAGAGTCGATTCCTACCATAGCAACCCTGTATAGGGTTTCCAAGGAGCAGCTGGCGAGCTTGAACCGCCGACCTTGAAGTTCAAACAGCTTTGCAGTCTGGTGCACTAACCCACAGTGCCACACCAGGTAGGGTAAGCAAAAATGTGCAGATTTCAGCTCAGTGAAGAGAGAAAGGTCTGTATCTGGGCATGTGCATGTGGATAGCTTCCAAATGTTCTGCAATGAGCAAATGTTCTTTGAAAACTGAGTTGAGAGACAAGGTCATTGAAGCGGAAGAACAAAACCACACACACACACAATTCCAGGCAGGGGGTAGAGGGATCTCTCCATGTTTAACAGGAAAACACAGTAAGAAAAGTCACAGAGGAAAAGACCAATTGGTCTGGTTGCTTTAAAAACAGAAACTTGGAGCAAGAATATAAAGGCAGATGCACACAGCTCACAACCCAAATGACCACGAGTCATATGGAGGTCATAAGGACTGTGGTCTCTAGCGAGCAAAGGACTCAAAACATAAGGAAGATACCACCTTCACGATTGTTCATAGGGTTTTGTTGGTTTATTTGCTTAATGCTTTTGTTTGTCTACTTGGTTGCTTTCAAGTGGAGGTGATTTTGACAATTGGGTACTGAGAGTACATCCCAAGGGAATCATCTGAAATACACATCTGAAACCATTTTATTACCAAAGTTGTCCATCCTAGCATCTTTTACAATATTGAAAAGTTGGTGAAAATGAAAATTTCTAATAATTATACAATGAAATAAATCATGATAAAACTACACAGTGAAAGAACATGGCAAAAATCTACAGCAACCACAGATACTACTCAAGTGACAGTGAAAATACAAAGGAACATGATCGAGAACATAGTCTGATCCCAATAATGTACACAAACCACACTAAATAAAGACCAAAGGTGATTATCTTTGCGTAACACACTGAAGGTTTTTTGTTTTGTTTTGTTTTAACTTCTTAGGTGCTATCCAAATTCTCCCTAGTCAACACATCCGTTTAATAATCAGAAACCACAGATCTTGCACGTGGTCTACAGTCACGGGAACCTCAGCCTCTTGGAGCTGGGGGGCAGGAGCTGGGGGGTGAAGATGGTTATGAGTGAATCGATGCAGAGAGGAGGGGGGTGGACAACCTAGGAACTGGGGGAGGGTGGGATGTGCATGGGCAAGGAGGGACCAGTGGTCGCCTAGGAAAGGGGCATTGTGGGATAAAGGGAAGACTCGGACTGCTCTGCGGAGGTCGTCTAGACCCAGTAGTAGGCACTGACGGTGTTCTCAAAGGGGAAGTTAAAGAGGGATTCTAGGAAGACACATGGATTCCTTTGGGAACGAGGGAGGAAAGAGGTGGGAGAGGAAAGCGACTTGGAAAGGAGGGAAGAGGGCTGGGGTGATGGCAGTGGCAATGGCAGTGACAAGGAAGAGGCCAGTTGCCAGTGACACTCCCTACTCCATACCTGACTCACCTCCGGGCAGCTCGCAGGAGGAACCAGGTGGAGGCAGCTCACAAGCCGTGACAATCTAGGGTAACTCTGCTGTCCAACAAGGCAGCCACTAGCCACAGGTGGTGAAGGGCCACCTGAGCCATGGCGAGCGCAAGTGACATCTGTTCTTTAAACTTCTCTTTGATTTTTATGTATATCTTCAGAAAATGGTGCTGGGACAATAGGATCTCCACCTGCAAAGGAGTGAGGCTGGCCCCCTACCTCACAGTGGATACGAAAATGAACTTCAAATTGACCTAAATATAAGAACACAAAAAACATACCTACAAGAAACTGTCCATAGAAGAAAACATAGAAAAAAAGAAAGAAAGAAAGAAAACATGGGAGTAGACCTGAAAGGTACTGGGGTAAGCACTGGGGTTTTACAAAGAGCACCAAAAGTACAAGGGACAAAAGAAAGCATTACATAAAGTGGACTTCGTCTAAAGGAAACCATTGGTGCATCAAGAGACCTTCTCAAGAAAGCAAAAAGGCAACCTACAGAAAGGGAGAAAATATTTGGGAACCATGTATCAGATTGTTGTTAAGTGCTGTAGAGTCTGTTGCGACTCACAGCAACCCCATATAGGTTTCTAAGGAGTAGCTGGTGGGTTTGAGTCGCCAGTCTTTCAGCTAACAATACAGTGCTTATCCTATAGCACCACACCACTATTCCATGTGTCAGATAAGAGTATAAAATTACGGGGAAAAAAGCTAATGACTCAACTGAAAAATAGGAAAAGGACTTGAATAGACATTTTTCTAAAGAAGATAGAAAAATAGCCAAGGAGCACAGAATTTATCAGGGAAATGTGGATGAAAACCACAAAACAATACCCACTAGGCTAGCTGTTACTGGAAACCAGTATGCAGACACTGGACTGAATCCTCATCTACTGCTGGAGCGGTTGTAAAATGGTGCAGGTGCGATGGAAAACAGCTAAACATCAAATTACTAGGTGGCCAAGCAATTCCACTCTTGGGTATTTATCCAGAAGAACTGAAAGCAAAGACTCAAACAGCTAAGCGCACACATGTACACGGCCACATTATTCCCAATAAGCTGGAAACAGCCCAAGTGCCCATCAACAGATGAAGAACCACAATGTGGTACTGCCACAAAGAATGGTGTTCTGATCAACGCCATGACATAAATGAGCCTTGGAAACGTGCTAAGTGAACGAAATCAGACACAAAAAAACAGATACGAATGAACCCACTTATATGAATTATCTAAATAGGCAAATCCATCAGGACAAAGGAGAAATCAGGGGTTGGGAGAAGGAGGCAACGGGGAGAAAAGATTGTTGGAATTTCAAGAGCCACATGTGCCGAGTGAGTCCTGCAGCACAGCACAGAGCAGGACAGTCTTTCTCCAAATGTGGCTCTTGGACCAGCGGCATCAGCTGGGAGTTGATGGAAAGCGGAAATCCTCAGACCACAGACTTGCTGACTCTGAAGTTCATCTGGCGGGCCTAGCAGGCGCTTCTAAGGTGTCCTCTTGTCTGTGAGCCACTGACCTAGTGCCATTCAACATTTCTGAGGTCACTCTAGTTTCCACTAAACCGAATAAACAATTGAAGGTGACCAGATACCATGCGCAAAATACATCCAGTCCAGTTCAGCAGGGCTGAAGCCAGATTACATGAAGCAACAAAGAGAGGGCTGTGGTAGCGTAGTAGCACTGCTGTCTGAACACCAGAAAGTGACTGTGCATCCCAATAAATGTTGGAGACGAACAAAAGGAAAGAAAAAAGCAGCTCTAACTTGGGTCCCATGCCTAAAATACACAAAGTAATCAAAGCCTGTAAGATGGTTTTATAATAGCAAGCCACTGAACGAGAAATACAGCCTTTACCTAACAGGAGAGATTTCTAAGGCCAAGCCAAGAAAGAGGAAAACCCACAGAGAGCTGAAGCATTCTGGGGCTACGCCTTCATAGAGCGCTTCTAGTAGAGACAGACAGACACATGAGGGGCCCCTGGGAGCCCTGGGGACGGCTTCCAAGACGAGGTAACCAAAACGGACAACATTTGCAGCCCAGATCAGCTTACAACTTCATCAAAAATAGACTTTGGAGGGTTTGGGTACTGAAATCACGCTTCCAGAAATCAAGCCAGAAAAAAAGGATGCAGCGTATGTACTTGTCACCCAGGAACAACAACCAACTGCGGAGGAAGAGAGGGAGTGAAACACGCTGAAGATACGTCATGAGGACTTCACAGCCTGAACTGTACAAATCACAGTGGAAGTGATGAGAGCCATCAAGAAAAGGCTCCTGTTTCCCATAGATGCAAACAAGCCAAACAAAAGCACGGGTTGTCTTTGAAACTGCACTGATTTGAAGTCACCATCACAGATACTATCTTGCATTTTCTAATACAATTTCACTACAGGAACACAGAGTTTGCCATATTTTGTTTCACAAACCTTTCCTTTAAACACTGAAACATTTGTTAAGGAAAGATCTCAGTGCAGGACTGCGTTGTTGTTGTTGTTGTGAAGTGTCCTCTAGTCGGGTCTGACTCATAGCAATCCTGTATAGGGTTTCTGAGGAACAGCTGGCAGGTGGGAACCACTGACCTTGCAGCTAGCAGTCCAGTGCGGCGCCTACAGGACTCCCCAGGACCACACTAACCATTTATTTAGAAAGGTGCGAACTCTTCTCAGAAGTATAGAGACTTCTGTTTTCTTGTCAGCGTCAAGCTTGCAAGTCTTAGCAGTGAGTGTTCCATCTCTTTTGTAGAAGATAACAGACTAAGCCCACTCATTACCACCACCTAGCCTTTGTGACTGTTTGGGGCTATTGATATATATGGAAAAGAGAACTGAATCCTGGGGTATTGAAAATTACCTATCAATGATATCTAAAAGAATGACAAAATTTTAACTTCATTCACTTAGCATTTAGTCGTTCAATTTTAAATTAATGATGACTAATTCAAAGGTTTCACTATCACAAATTCTTAAGCCAAATTATTGATGCATGTTTTCATGGCCCACCCCGTGGGCTGCCTCCAATATGAGGGGTCTTCAGGAAATAACCAACTCTAATGCCTTCTCTACCCAGCACAAAACATTTGCCCTTTGTGGTTGGCAAAATTCAAGGCAGCAGCCATGCTGGGAGGAATTCTCCACCTTGGGAGTCATTATACACATTATGATCTTGCAAAGGGTCAGAATCTACAAAATATAGCTCCCCTGCATGGATGTCTGAAAAGTTAGCCAGAAATTCTTCAGGATTGAAGCCAACCCACACAGTATACCTATAGTCTATAGTACGGATGGAATAGCCCATGATCTTTATATCTTTCAAACTCGGCTTGTCAGAGTCCCACTGAGGGGAGTCTGCAGGTCGAGGGTACTGGCTGTAGGCAATGGACTCACGGGGATTACCATGGAGGTCTGAATTCTCCTTCGAGTCGTGAAACTGAAAATGCTTCAGAAGGTTCTGGCCTTCTCTGCACAGCTCAACATGAAAGGAGGGAATCGGGCAGCGGGGTGGAACTGGCAGCCCCGCCAGTCCAGCGAGCGTAGGAAAGAGAGACACAAGTTCCACAAGTTCTTCAGCTTGCCCACCTAAAACAGGAAGCAACGTGACAGAATCGATTACATCACAGAAGTTGGCCACACAGTCAAGCGGGAGGACAGAGGTGGCCTGCCCAGGTGCCACGTGTTTGCTCGTTTTTCTTTTTTGACATTTCTTTTAGCCAAAGACTATTAGAAGCAAGACCAACTCAGCCCCTCACCGTCCGCTACCTGCTCATACAAAAAGAGGATGCAAAAAGAAGGTGGCTCTGGTCTGTTGGCACTTAGGAACCAGTGTAGTAATGAATTCGGGCAAGTGGCATCATGGAAAATCCTGTTGGGGAGCAAGGTTACTCCTTTCTGGACTGGTGTATTTCATCCATCAGTAAAATCTAAATCCTCACTGGATGTTGAGCTCCAGTCAGAGGGTTCTTGCTTTCAGACCTTCAGCAGTCTAGCCTTTCTGGATCTCCATGGGTTTGCTCACATTGCCTGATTGTATTTTCTACTAGAGCCCTCGTTTGTAAGTAACGTTAAAAAAAAAAAAAGGAAAATAGTAAAAAAAAAAATTGTTTTTGTTTTGGTCTGTTTTTTAAAGGTTCCTTTACAATGTCAAGAAGCTGGAGGACACCGTGTGCCGAGTTAGCATTAATAAAAGGACCAGCTCTCTGATGTGACATTAGTTCATGAGGAAGCCACCAGACACAACCAAAAAGTGTTGTTGTTATAAGTGCCTTCGAGTCGGTTCCGACTCATAGTGAAGAAATGTGAGACCCTGTAAAAAACAACAGGCCTGGACATGTGTAAGAAGATGAAGTCAGGGAGCCAGCCACTGAGAGCACTTCACCTGAGAGTGAGATGGCACAGGCTTGAAGGCTCCAGAGCAGGGCCATACGACCTGACGTGGGCTTTCCACGGAGCACTTTGGCTACTGTGAACTGCAAGGGCAATGTAAACTATATAGGCCTGGTCCAAGATGGAGGCCATAGAGGTGATGGAAGTGGTCAGATTATGTCAAGTGGCCATGGTGTCACTCCCTACTCTATGCTCAAGGCAGGCATACTTTGCTCACCTGTGGACAAGTCTAGAAAACAGCTCACAGGTGGAATCCACTAACAGCCAGGTGGACCCTGCTCATAACCAGCAACAATCTAAGGGAATTCTGTTCGAGAGTGCTTTCTGGAATGACAGAGATGTTCTAGATCTGTGCTATTCACTACGTTGTTGTTGTTATGTGCCGTGGAGTCGGTTCCGACTCATAGTGACCCTGCACAGGGTTTCCGAGGCTGCAAATCTTTATGGGAGCAGAAAGCCTCATCTTTCTCCCGCGGAACAGCTGGTAGTTTCAGACTATCAACATTGCATGCGGTTCACAGCCCGATTCATAACCACTTCACTACTAGAGCTCCTTGCTATTCACTACAGTAGCCACTAACCACCTGTGGCAACGAAGTCTTTGAACTGTGGCGAGTATGACTAACTTCTGCTCTTTAAACCAGAATTAGAATTTATGTCGTCAACAAAAGGTGCTAAGACAACTGGGTCTCCATGTGCAAAACAGTACAGCTGGACCCCTACCCTCACACCATATATGAAAATCAGCTCAAAATGGATGCAGGACTGAAATGGCAGGAGCTTAAATTATAAACCTCTTAAAAGAAAACACGGGAGCAAACTTCAGTGAGTCCGGGTTAAGCAATGGCTTTTGGTGTTTGTTTTGTTTTTTTAAGAAATACCACCAAAACCATAAGCAGTAAGAGGGAAAAATAAATAAATGGGACATTTTCAAAACGAGACTGGACTGACCCTGGCCCATGATTCATTTGTTGGTGGTGTTGTTATTGTTGTTGTGTGCCCTCAAACCCAAGGCTGTCACCTTAATGGAGGCAGACTGCCACATCTACCTCCCAGAAAGTGGGAGCGGTTCACACTGCAAACCTTTCAGTTAGCAGCTGAGCACTCCAGTACATTGTATACCTGGCTCCATCAATTCTGAGATGGAATCAAAAGGATCGATGTATGGAAACATCTTTACGCCTGCCTGTGGAAGCAAGGCCGTCCTTCCAGGAACATAGAACATCAGGGGCACTCGAGTGGTGACATCAAAGTTGCTGTATTTGGCCCATTCTCCATGCTCACCAAGAGACCATCCTGGTTCAGAAAAAAGAGAAATGAAGAATTACATCACATCTTGTCCGTGCTGGATACCATTTCCTTTCCAGAGGAGGGAGAACTCATCACCAAGAAGAAATTCCACTAAGATCACCACAAAAAGGACAATTTTGCCTCAATCCTGCTGTAGTCGAAGTTAAACATTTGTTGCAGAGAATGAAACCTTTCAATGAGAAAAGAAAATAATGGAGATCCCTGAAGTCATAATGCCACCCCTATTCTACCCTGTCCTGTCTCACAAGCTCAGGTTTTCATCCATAAGTGAGTTTTGAGACCATGGCACAATTGCTCACATTCAAAAAGGTCATTTGATAAGGTATGTTTTTGCTGTTGTTAGGTGTAGAGTCAGTTCTGACTCACTGCAACCCTACGCCCGGTCCTGTACCAGCCTCACAATGGTTGCTGCAGCCACTGTGTCAATCTGTCTCGCCGGGGGTTCTTCCTCTTTTGTGATGACCCTCCACTCTAACACATATGATGATGTCCTTCTTCTGACCCTGGTCCCTCCTGACAGCTTGTCCTCAGCATCCTCACTTCTGGGTAGCCTTCTGGCTGTACTTCTTCCAAGACAGGTTGGTGTGTTCTTCTGGCAGTCCAATATTCTTCGTAAACACCTTAATTCAAAGGCAGTCCAATATTCTTCGTAAACACCTTTTTCACTGTCCACCTCTCACAGGCATACGAAGTGACTGAAAAAATCATGGCTTGGTTCAGGCACATCTAGTCTTCCAAGTGGTATCTTTGCTCTAACACTTAAATCTTCTGTAGCTGATTTGCTCAATATGAGACATCATTTGATTTCTTGATTATTGCTTCCATGGGCATTGATTATGGATCTAAGCAAAATGAAATCCTTGACAACTTCATTCTTTTCTGTGGTTATCATGCTGCTGCTTACTGAAACCTTTCAATGAATAAACAAATTATGGAGATCCCTAAAGTCATGAGTTGTGAGGATGTTTTTATTTTCTTTACACTGAGGTGTATATACCATACCCCAAAACGAACCTCATTGCTGTCAATACCTTAAACAGAAAACTACAACTTTTATTCTCAGATCCTTAACCCAGATTTAAAATATCTGTTGCAAAACAAGGTCATCCATTCCCAATTGTTTTCATATTTCAGCCTTCTTTTTGATACTACAAATATATATGATAAAGGAGATAGGTTCAGTATTTAGTGTTCAAAAAAAAGACTAAACAGCTGTGGTAGGGTCAAGACTAAAATACATGTGTATTTCACTGCTGACAACCCTACCTGCTGACACTAGCAATAGGATGGTGCATATGCTAGCTAGCCACCACCCATCTATCAGTTTGTCACACTGTGGTAGCTTGTGTGTTGCTGTGATGCTGAGAGCTATGCTAACTTGTATCTCAAATACCAGCAGGATCCCTCATGGTGAACAGGTTCCTGCGGAGATTTCAGGCTAAGACAGACAGAAGAGGCACGGGGTGATCTGCTTCTGAAAATCAGCTGTTGAAAATCCTATGGCTCAAAACAGAACAATGTCTGATGTAGGGCTTAGAAGATGAGACCTCCGGGTTGGCCGCCAAACTGGACTTGAGCATACCGGTGATCATGGGGATGGTGCTAGACTGGGCAACGTTTTGTTCTGCTCACACAAGGTCACCATGAGTCAGAGCCGGCTCCACAGCACATCTGCTCCCCAAAACAGGGCTGGCAGCTCTCTGGAGTCAACAGTGCTTTCCCCAACCAGTAATCAAACCAGGCAGCCTTTAGCTGTCAAAGAACAATGGGCACCAGGCAAGGGGAGACTAGGTAGGGATACTGTTGACTGAAAAGGGAATTGTGAGAGAGGGGACAGGGCTAAAGTCAGGGACCATTGCAGTGGGGGAGGGAGACACCAGAACCATGTCTGAAATCTACTTCTCTGTGACCCAGGACAGGAGCATTCTAGGAGGGTTCAGGGGAGCTGTGTCACCCCAAAGCTGCATTAGGGCCATTTTGTGTGGGCTACTCTCATTTTTTATGATAAGGTCCCCTGGGTTCTGGGAACCCCAGCAGAGAGCAGGGGAAATGAGGAAGGGGAAATGAAAGTTTTTCAAACACAGCACACCATTCAGTCTTGGCCATTTCCTTTCACTACGCCCTGCCATTTTCTAGAACACAAAAGGGTGGGAAGAGTTCTGTAACGAAAGGCTTGGGTCAAATGCCCCTTATTCAGTGCCCATGTACATTCCACGTTTCCAGCACACTCTCTCCCCTCTAGGGCCACCAGGGATACAGAATCAGGGAGGATCTTCATGTCATTTGGAAGAACTCAGTTCCATTTCTGGGCAAAGTGGGATGCAGCCTTAGAGAAGATGAAGAGCTGAGAACCCCAAATCTGGGCAGAAGGGACAGCAGGCATGGGAGTGGGAGGGCTGGGAATGTTCTAGATCTTTTGGCAAAGCACCAAACATCCTCCAACCCTGTACTCTAGAAGTGAGGGTTAGAAAAGCTCCCCACTCATGTGGAGGGTTCCTGCCAATTTCACCAAGGATACGAAGCATTGCTACAAGTTCTCCATCTAGGCAGGTCCCAGGCCAACAACATGATGCTGGACAGCACTGACTCACAATTTGAAAACCAGCAAATTTCACCACCAAGTTCACATGTTCTGAGTGACCCCCATCCTGGCGCTTTCCAAAGAGCTCACCATGATCAGAGGTGAACGCCACCATCGTTCTGCTGGCCAGCTGAAGACTGTCCAAAGCACTCAAAAGACGGCCGACCTGTGTGTCCACATATGAGACAGACGCAAAGTAGCTCTGGCGGATTTTCCGCTGCAAATTGGAAAACAGTGAAAAATGAGTTGTTGTTCTTGTTGCTGTTACGTGCCAGTCTAGTGGGTTCTGACCCACAGTGACCCTGTAGAGGGTTTCTGAGGCTATAAAGCTTTGGGAGAGTAGACAGACTCATCTTTCTCTTTCAGAGTGGCTGACCTTGCCCACAGAGCCACTGTGCTCCCAAGTAATGAATGAGATCAGCCGCAGTTCCAGTTGCTGGGGTGCACTTCGATTGTGTTTCCGAGCATCCCTCCTGATCAGTTCATGCATTTCCCTACTATCTGCATCCCTCAGAGTCACAGTAAAACCCAAGGGTCTCAGAGCCCAATTCTTTTCTAAGTTCATCAGCTTTCACTTTGGGGCATAGATCCCAATTGCTACAAGTACCACTCACTACCCCTGTGTGTCACCCTCACGTATTCTTACAGGTCCCAGAAGATGGATACATGTGTAGACACTGTCCCTAAGCCCCCAAATGCCAGCCTACGTATGCTCTGATGCAGGCTGGCCGAGAGAGATCCGCACGGCTTTCAGTGGGCCTTTCCTCTGACCCCTTCCGCACCCAGCCCAGACTGTGGCTATCACATAAGACTCATTTCTACCAACAGAGGAGACAGCAGTGTACCCTCAACCCAATAGGGACCTCGAAAGCTGAAGTTTGTTCCCCAAAATGATACGTTCAAGGCCTCATCCCTGGTACCTGTGAACTTGATCTTGTTTGGGAATAGGATCTGTGTCTTTGCCGAGGTAATTAGGAAAGATGAGGTCATCAGGAATTAGGATAGGCCCTAACCCCTAACCTAATGATTGGTTTCCTTCTGTTGGTGGTGTTGCTAAGTGCCCTTGAGTCTGTTCCAACTCAGAGCAACCCCCATGGGCTCTCTGAGGCTATAAATGTTGACAGGAGCAGAAAACAGAGCGGCTAGAGGGCTTGACCAGCTGACCTTTTGGTTTGCAGACCAGTGCTTATGCCACAGAGCCACTATACTTCCCAATATCCTTCTAGTAGATGGGAATGTGGACACAGAGACAAACAGGAATCATACCACGTGACAGTGGTGGCAAAGATTGGTGTCATGCGTGTACAAGAATCACTAGTAAGCACCAGGCGCTCGGAGAAAGAGCCTTCAGAGAGGCCCCCCCCTGCTGAGGGAGGAGACATGTCAGTCATACTCAAGCCACCCACTCTGAGAGAGTGTTGTGACAGTCACAGGAAGCCAACACAAGGCTATGCACCAAAGAAAAGGAGCCCCCAGCCTAATTCACAAATGATCAGAAAGGAGGTCAACAGCCCCCACAAGGGGTGAGAGGCAAAGGAGCAGTGGCAGCTTCCCCTCCCCGCCCCTGCCTCATCAGCAGGCCCCCTCTCAGCTTTCCATCACCACAGAGTGAGGACAATCACAAGACTCAGCTGCTCTCCTCACCATATGCAGCTAATGTTCTAGAAGGTTGTTGATGAACCCTGGCCTACGTAGACTTGATGGTAGATAGTCTTGGATCTGTAATATGAGGAATGTGGGTCTTCCTAGGGACCAAAGACAACTGTCAGCATGCCTGCGTCCTATTCAAGGGTCTCCACTCCTTCCTGGCCTAGGCCTTAGAGAGAGAACACAGGCATGGAGACAAGGAAATGAGGGCATTCATTAGTGGAGGGGGCCAGGAATGACCCAGAAGAATGAGTATTGCCCAGAGGAGCAGCATCCACGAAGAGGCCTGAATGGGGAGTAGGAGACTGGGAGCAGGGCTCCATGCACAGAGGTCACAATGCGAGCGAAAGGGGCGGGGGTGCAGGCCGAGGCAGTCTGTCGGGATGAGGAGCTGACACGTGGTAAGAACTGGGCTGAGGGAAGAAGGGGAGCCTGCAAACTGGAGAGGAATGCAGGGAGATTGAGCAAGACGATGAGCGGTGGATCCAGTATGCAGCAGGGACACAGAGGACCAGGAAGAGGAGGCAGGGCCCCAGGAACGAGGTCAGAGCTGGAGGGACAGTACCGGGAATCATAGGTGAGACTGGGCATGGAGGCGAGGCGGCTCTGGCAGGCTGGCAAGAAAGCCCAGGAAGCGGCCAGTCCCCAGAGAGCAGACCCATAAGAATCGATTTCATTTGTCCACAAGGTCGCTGCTGAGCTGCCTGAGAGGATGCTTAGCAGGTGTGGGGGAGGGGGCAGCAGCTGGAGGAAAGGAGAATGAAGAGAGAATGGGCAAGAAGGCCATGATGCAGGGAAGATGACAAAAGGGCTGCTGAGGTGGGCACAGGAAGAGACAAAGAGAGGGAGACAGACACCAGGTGAGAGCCTGTCCCCAAGCCAGGAACGCCAAGGATCGCAGGAAGGCTCTGAAACTAGGAGAGAGTCCACAAAGGGAAGCCATAAGGCCAAGACTGATTTCGACCTTTAGCCTCCAGAACTGAGAGAGATTGCTTTTCTTAAGAGCCACCACTTGCGCTCTGTTCTAAGACCGCGGCTGACCAGTCCATGTGAGGATTCACATCTGTAGCTGTTCCATCTCCATGTCGTAGCCAAGGAACTTGAGACAGCTGGCCTTGGTGGTGGCCCAGCTCCCTCTGTACCAAGCCACGTGAGACGGAGGGGCTCCCGTGTAGACTTTCCACACAAGGTGCCTGCCAGTACTGGCTTGTTGCATAGCCATCTGGACTAAACATTCCCCACCACCGTGCCCATGGCTTCTGAGTCACCCAACTCTCTGGATGCCCCCCAACTCTTTGGGAGGCAAGATTGGTGGGGAGATTCTTGGGCCCCTGTCACTGCCTATGTCCCAAAGATCTCCAGGATGCCCCTGCCCCCAAGCCTGCACGGAGAAGGCTTTCATTACAGAGTGATGTTTGAGAAAAGGGGCCTTCGCCGATGACATCACATCACATGTGCCCAACCTTACCCCAAAGTGTGTCCTCAGTACCTGAAAGTCCACAGGAATGGGGCCATAGGGTATACTGATGTTCAAGGCTTGCACGTCCTCCCGCTGTCTGATGTCCATCCAGGGGTTGTAGGCCACAGGGGGGAGGCCAGTAGGCACCTGGGGGTCGGGTGCCAGGCTGATGTTCTCCAAGGGATACAACTTCTGAAACTCCTTGGAGAGAGGACACAAAGGCACGAGGCTGTCGCTCTCCCCTTCCTGGAAGCCCATGAGGATCACTAGTATGCCCCACCGGTGAGTTAGGCTATAAGTCACCTTCATGAGGGGTCCATGGCAAGGAAATTACATAACTTGTCTCCATGAACCGAGCTGGGACAGCTCTCTCCTCGTATACAAACTCCTGGCCCTCTACCTAGAAAGGTGTGAAGAGGTGTGTTAAGGATCCCCAGGAACCTCCTCAGGCTTGGTGACTCTCTTGGAGGACTCACAGGACGCAGCATATTGTCATTCTTACAACTCTGATCATTACCGAGAAAGGAGAAACAGCACAACTAGCGAACGGAAAAGGTGCCAGGACAGAGTCAGGGAGACCCCAGGCTAAGGCTTCCCAAGTGTGCTAACACAGGTGGATGCTATCCACCAGGGAAACTCTGCAGAGACCAAGGGTCACGTCAACACCCAGAAGGTAAGTAGCAGTTCATCTGATGAACAATGCAGACACAGGGAGTCATGGTTCTCGAATTCTCAATGCCAGCCAGGGACCAGCCTTGTAAACCACCAGCCTTTTCAAGGAGAGCTGTCAGGCCTGATCGCTGAACTCTTTCATGTACAAGAGACAGGAACGGTAAGCCACACAGGCTCCTAAAGGAAACTGTAAGTCTTTGGGCCAAAGAAAGCAAAAACACTTGCTTTGTAGTCTCTACTCTCGTTATCCATGAGGGGTGACCTTCATGGCATCCACAGGATGGTGACTCTAGCCGCAGAGAAAAGCTGAGAAAGCTTCTGGAAAGGGGACGTCTATGTGCTTTAAGTGACATGCTGGCCAGCACAGGATGCAAGGGTCCCATAAGCAACCCAGTGCCCCGTGATGAAGGGGTCAGACCTGGCAGGGCCAGGAAAAGCAGTGGTGGAATTGTTTCCCAAGACCCATTCCTTACTGCAAGTTCTAGCAACCAGCTCTGACTCTCACCCTATGGTGATCAACCATCAGCCAGCCCAATGTGAGTTCAAGGCCACAAAGGACAAGGTTTCTTTGTAGATAGTCGAGTGTTTCTGACAGGATTCTTAAATGTCTTAGGACAGTTTTCGGTCCTGAGCTCTGAATCACATCTTCTTCACTTCATGGGGATACTAGTGTCTACTGAGCATCCCTGGGGACTCGAGACAGTAGATGGGACCACCACCCCTCCCCACCCCGACCACCACCCCTCCCCACCCCCCCAACAAACAACATAGCACTAGTGGTTGTGCTGGACCAACTCTCAGCCATCCCTTTACCTTAGGGTATCTGAAGGGGATATGCGGCTTATGGTACCCAACAGCCAGGAAAAAAGGCCTGGCCGATGTTTTCATCTTTTCCAACAGTTGGATGGCTTGCTCAGTGCTCTGCTTGTCAGGCAAGGTCCCCTCAGGCACATCTGCCACATCCACGGGACAAAGCAGGTTGGCATGGAGTTCTCCGTCTTTCCCCCTACAGGTCTTTCCAAAGAAAACAGACACAGTCAGCTTTGTATAAGCCACATGTAGTCACGTAGGTTCCGCCCACGGAGTTAACACTCACGTCACCAGCATGAACAGGCCTATCAGAAGCAGAATGAAAATAAAATGACCTCTTCACTTCCAGGCAGGAGTCAGAAATCCACCAGTACTTTGCTTCTTGTGCTTAATACTGTCTCCAAATCAGAACGAATTCAAAGAAATCCAGGAGCTTAATGATCAAAAGGAGTCTTGATACGGCACTGTGGGTTAATGCGCTGGACTGCAAAGCCGTTTGAACTGCAAGGTTGGCAGTTCAAGCTCACCAGCTGCTCCTCAGAAACCCTATACAGGGTCGCTATGTGCTGGAACCAACTCAACAATACTTAACAACAACAACAACAACAAAGATAAAAAATGAAGCTGTCTCAGCCTAAGTGCCCATCAACTGAAGAATGGATAAACAAATTGTGGTACAGCCACACAATAGTATATTATTATGCCACCTTGAAGAATAACAAGGAAGCTGCAAGCCACCGCATAACATGGATGAACCTTGAGGACATTATGCTGAGTGCAATTAGTCAGTCACAAGAGGAGAAATACTGCATAGAAACATTATTGTAAAAGATTAAAGCACCCACACAAAAAGGGGGAAAACAGTTTCTTTGTTGGTTGAGGGGGGGTGAGGTGTCAGCAGGACAACGAAGGTGGAGCACAGGGGATAGACATATGATAATTTGGGTGTTGTTGGCGGGGGGGGGGGGGGCAATACACAAGAAGGTGGAGGGGAATGGAAGAATAAGGCAGATGGGAGAACATTTTGGCAGGTTTGCATGGGCTAGAAGTAAATAGTGATGTATGCACAACCTCGGAACAACAGGGCTCTTTGTTACAGGGATTGAGGCATAGTCTGAATGGGTAAAAGACGGAGACTAATGTTAAGATGCTTGACTATCTTAAGAATCTTGGTTTCCTTTGCCTACTATGCAAAATAGACAATTGAGGGGGAGAGAAAGAAATAACCAAAAACATGACTATAGAAAGCTTTTAAGTCCGTCTTCAGTCTATAACTGACCAGAATACCGACAAGGGGTACTAGAACTTGCCCAGTGAAAGAGGCTTCCTGCGGAACCTTTGTAGGGTATAAGACCTGATCCCCATCCAGAATTTTCTGAGGTGGGAAAGTTCCACTTGAAAAGACAAGCCGACCAGCCTGGAGCAGCTAGAGGAACAGAAGATACTTCTTGAATGAAAGACCAGCAGGAAAAATCCAAAACAAAAATGGCAGTCTGATTAACTAGTATAAGAACAAGCACGTTGTTCACCAGGGAGCCATCAAAGCAAGCAATGAAGTCCCTTCAGGGCAAACCCCCTTCCAAGACTGAAACTCAAAGGGAATACACGAGCAGGCGTGTAAGCTTGCTGGCAACCACGCTGGTGTACTGATGAGGGGAAATGGGGGGAAAGCAGCAATGAAGAGGTGGGCTGAATGCAACCACAATACATAGACTCCCATCAACCTGGAGTATGGTGAGAGCTGGCTGACCAGCAGTATGGTGAGACCTGGGGATGCCTGGGCCCATGAACAAGGACATAGCCACAAAGACCTGGAATGAAGAGTGAAGCATTCAGTTGATATGCAGTAAGGGGAGATGCACAGGAACACCCATACTTGCAGACAGCACCCATCTGACCTAGCTTCAATGGCTGGATGATCAGAACTCAACTCAAGGAAGAAAGAAAAGAAAAACTTTTTTTTTTTTTTTTTTAAAGAAGTGTAAATTGCTACAATTTGATTAACTTGACCTATACTTAATGACGTATAGCTTAATATACTAACCATGAGGGAAGGAATCTTCACAGTAAAGATCATTCCCATCCCCTCTGTACACAGAGTTGATAGGCATGGGCAACTTAGACACTGGTTACC